CACACACACACACACACACACACACACACACACACACACACACAAACACAGGAAGCTGCTCCTGGTTCAGGTATTTATTTGATTTACCCAAGGAGGGTAAATCAATTCTCTCATAGGTCTAAGATCTGCATTCTCAATGAGGGTGAAAGAGCCTCCAGGGAGTGCAATTCTTGCTTTTCTATGTATAAAACATAGATACCTGAGATATTAATATTTCATGGGAGAGTGATTAGGAAAAAGATATCTAGAAAGGCTTCTCGGGGGTGATAAAGAAAAAAAGGTTGAGAAACTGCCCTAGAATAAACCTGAGGGTTTGGATGTTGAGTCCAACAAACCAACAGCTGGAGGCAGTGCCCACCATGGCTGTGGAGGGGTCAGGTGGCAATCAGACAGGAAGAAGGGCTGGGAATGTGTCTCGGAACGAGCCTGCATGGAAAGCTTGTCGATTTTTTTTTTTTAAGATAGGGTCTCACTCTGCCACCCAGGCTGGGGTGCAATGGTATGATCATGGCTCACTACAGTCTCAAACTCCTGGGGTCAAGTGATCCTCCTGCCTCAGCCTCTTGAGTAGCTGGGACTACAGGCATGCACCATACCACACCCAGCTAATTTTCTTCCTTCTTTCCTTCCTTCCTTCCTCCCTCCCTCCCTCCCTCCCTTTCTTCCTTCCTTCCTTCCTTCCCTCCTTCCTTCTTTCCTTCCTTCCTTTCTTCCGAGACTGGGATCTCACTTTGTTGCCCAAGCTGGTCTCAAACTCCTGGCCTCAAGTGATCCTACCACTTCAGCCTCCCAAAGTGCTAGGATTACAGGAGTGAGCCACTGTGCCAGGCTAAAACTCACTGCTTTTAAGCAATGTGGCAGATACTATTATTTTTCATCATGGAGCTAATGTCCCCTTACACAGGACTAGTGGGCTCTGCTTTCTGGTCAGAAGTCAAAGCAGGCAGACATTCCCTTTTCTTTGTTGTGGTGGCTGTAGTGCTCAGGTGGGAACACCTGCCTGGGACTCTGAGTACTGGCTGCAGGAGCAGTGGGGAGGACTCAGGACAACTGGGCAGAGGTAAGGCACATGTGTAGTATGGATACTTATTAAACAAATGGTCCAGGGAAGCGACCATCATTTTGCAAACTGACCAGGGAGCCAGGAAGAACTCCTCCCCACTCCACAAGTTTCCCTTGCTTCAGTCGTGTTAGGAAGACCCTTATGGTTTTTGTCATGTCCAGTATCCTTCTCTGCGTTAGACAGAGTCCCATGGCCCCATTGGCTTTACTCTCACCCTAAACAACAAGGTCACCCATCAAACCTTACTGTGTCTGTTAAAGCCTTTCCTTAAAAAAGTAAGTAAACATTTGTTTATTATTATTTTTTAGAAATGCATCTAAGCCAGGTTTGGTGGCTCAGCCTGTAATCCCGCGCCTTGGGAGGCTAAGGTGAGTGGATTGCCTGAGCCTGCAGGTTCAAGACCCGCCTGGGCAAC